AAAAGGAGGCTCAGGGGGGACCTTCTGGCTCTGCAATCCCTGACAGGAGGGGGGGAGCCGGGGGGGGTCGGGCTCTGCTCCCAGGGAACAGGGACAGGAGGAGAGGGAACGGCCTCCAGCTGGGCCAGAAGGTTTAGATTGGATACTGGGGATAACTCCTTGCTGGAAAGGGTGGTCAGGCATTGGAAGGGGCTGCCCTGGGAGGTGGTGGAGTCTCCATCCCTGGAGGTGTTCAGAAAACGTGTGGGTGTGGCACTTGGGGCCGTATTTGGGGGTGACCAGGTTAACAGCTGACTGCAAGACCTTGGAGAGCTTTTCCAACCTTAATCCTAAGAAGGGGAGCTGCAGGAACTTCCCTGCACATTAAACAGGCACAGCCAGAGAGCCCCAATCCCAGCCCAGCTCCACCAACACTTCCTGGGATCAGCGGCTCCCGAATCCCTGTTCTTGTGCAAAGTGCTGGAATTCCCACAGTGCCAGGCACGTGTGGCCCTGCCAGATTCCAAGGGATGCAGGGGAGCCACCCCCCACAAAGGAGGGGCCCAGAGCTGTTCCCAGCAGGTACTCACTGTGTGAGAAGCGCTGGGTGATGGGGGTGCCGGGATAGGGATAAGTGCGACTCTCCCACTGGATATTCCCTTCTTGCACTGCCTTGATAAATCCGTGGTAACACTGGTGGGCCACACCTGGGGGAAAAACACACCTGTCAGCAAGATGTGGGACATGCCAGGGACAAACTGTGCCTGCACAGCCACAGCAGCTCCAGAGAACCCCCGCTCTGAGGGCGCAGACACGCCGGGAATCCGGAGGATTACAGGGAATAAAGGAAGGGGACTCTGGAAATGTGGAGATCAGCAACGCTCAGTGACCCAGGTCTCGACATCCCCTGAGCTCCAGCTGGGGCAGCAAAGCCCTGGTGACAGGCAGGGAGCACAGGGGATGCTCTGCAGAGCTCCCAGCCCCCCCTGCTGTTCCCTCATCCCTCATTCCTGAGGAGCAGCTCCCCTCCCCTTTCCTCCCCTCCCCTTCAGCAGCCTCAGGCACAGAGCACAGTCGGTGTTCAGACTGGGGGTGCACATTATGCCCAGGGAATGCTCATTTCCACACACCACAAGAAGTCCTCTCTCCCGACACCTCGGAGGAGCCGCCTCCTCACCTGGGAAAAACATTCCAGGTGTGTGGAAGGACCAGCCCTGGCTGGGCTGGGAGAGGAAGGGCTTTAATTGCACTGGGCAATCAGGTCTCCAACCTGCTCCAGACTGTCCCTCATCCTTTGGAGCTGCTCATCCCACGTGCCAGCAGCTCCCTGGGCACACCAGGAGGGCCTCTGGGGAGATACTCAGACTTTGAGGCTTATTCTCTCCCCCACTTCAAATAAAACTCCTCTTCCATCAGACAGACGTGTTTAAGAACAAGCCTTAGGCTGTTCTCCTTGAAAAAGGCTGGAGAGGAGACAGCAGGGACAAAAAATCAGCAGGAAAATATTCCTGCTCAGCTGTGTGAGGAAGTGGATTTAGCTGGGAACAGGCTCCTCATGGAGCTGCCAGGATTTCTGGGGGGGAACAGGGATCAGAAAAGGCTCTGCTGAAGGTCTGGGGCAGCAGCAGCTCAGCAGGTGCTTGGTGACACCTGCACGGGGGATGCCACAACCTGCCAAGAGCTTTTCCCCCAAGGATTTGCTTCCTGAAAGGTCAGGAACACCCCCAGCAAGAAACCCCTCTCTGGGATATAAAGCAGGAAGGGGATTTTAATAAAAAAATCAAGCCCAGGGTCCTCAAGGAGCCGATTCCCGAGAGTCACACGGGAAAGGGAACACGAGCCGTAGGATTTCCCAGCAGCTGTGTCCTGGCAAACAGGAAAACTGGAGCAGGAGAGGACAAATCCATTGTTCACCTCGACTGACCTGGCTGGGCACAGCTCACAGGTGGGAACTGCACTCCCTTTTTGGCTGGAATTGCCCCAGAGCCACGCTGTGCTCGGGATGCTTGTCCCCCCCTGCCCTCCAGGGATCCTTCCCACAGTTTGGGGGGAATCCCAGGGGTTTGTCCACTCCAGCTCCTGAGGCTGCTCCAGGAACCAGCCAAGGAAAGGCCAGCACTTGGAAAAGACCTTTCCCCAGGGGTGTGGGGCTGTTGGTGCCCTAAAATTACACAAAAAAGAGTAACTTTGGGCAATGCTCCTGTTTTTACCCTTCCTCCTGGTAAACCCTGGGCAAAGTGGGAAATGCCTGGAATCTGAGCAGTGCTTTCAGGTGTGCAGAGTCCACAAAGGAGCCACCACCCCACACAGCTGCCAAAGGCATCCTGGCTCCAGGTTTTCCAGAAGAAACAAGTTCCCCCTCGTGTTAAATCCCAGTGGATTTAACTGTGGCCTCCCCCTTAAACTCCCTGTTTGTTAAACAAAGCTTGGGATTAAAGAGCCAGAATCGTCACAGGAATCACCCAGTGTATTCCAGTGAAGTGAAGCAGAGGGTTTTGTTTGGATCCTGGTCCAACTTTCCCTCCTTTTTTGCTGTCTCATCCACACCCAGCACTAAATATCCCCCCAGGGCTCTGGCAGGAGCTGCACGAGGCAGAGCAGGATCTGTGTCTCGGGGCTGCTCTTTTGGGAAGTGTGAATATGCATTAATGTAGATTGGATATCCCACTCATCTCCTGCAGAGCTGCAAGAGCCAGGCATGGCACTGTTTCCAGCAGCTCTGGAATGTTCAGTTCGGAGCAAGAGGCAAAGGAAGCACAGCCAGGGCCACATCAGACACTGGGAATGGGGCTGGAATGTAGAGCCACCACTGGGAGCATCCCATCCCATGCAGCAAATGGAGGGGCTCTGTCCTGGGGCTTGGGGGTTTTGGGGTGGGAGGGACCTCAGAGCTCAGCCATTCCCACCCCCTGCCAGAGGTGGAAGCTCCCATGAGCCCAGGTTTCTCCAGGCCCGTCCAGCCTGGCCTTGGCCACTCCCAGGGCCGGG